AAGCTCGACCCACTCCTACACCACTCACGTCCACTGCTCGACTCACTGTCTCCACAGGGACTGCCCCGGCAGATGCAACACTCTATCGTCAGGTGGTTGGCGCACTTCAGTACCTTGTCACCACGCGCCCCGATGTGGCTTTTGCGGTTAACAAGTTGTCTCAGTACATGCATGCACCGTCGACAGAGCACTGGCAGCATGTGAAACGCCTTCTTCGTTATATTGCAGGTACTCGTGCCGTTGGACTTCAAATTCGGCGGCAGTCCACTCCCCTTCCACTTCGAGTGTTCTCTGACTCCGACTGGGCTGGTGATCTTGACGATCGCACTTCTACCTCGGGGTTCTTGATATATCTCGGAGACACTCTCGTCTCCTGGAAGTCCAAGAAACAACGTACTGTTGCCCGCTCTAGCACTGAGGCTGAATATCGTGCGCTAGCACTGGCTGCATCTGAGACCGTCTGGCTCCAGAATCTACTCACTGAACTTCATTACACTCTCCCTCAGGCACCGACCATTTTTTGTGATAATCTGGGGGCGATTCACTTCAGTTCGAATCCCGTTTTCCATTCTCGTATGAAACATCTTGCTCTCGACTATCATTTTGTGAGACAGCTGGTCACTTCGAAGGCTCTTCAGCTCCGTCACGTACCTACTGCATCTCAGTTAGCTTATGTTCTCACCAAAGCACTTCCCTCTACTCGATTTTGTCTTTTGCGTTCCAAGATTGGTCTTGCTGACGCGTCGTCCATCTTGCGGGGGCGTATTAGGGAGAATTCCCGATAGTTGTTGTATTACTTGTCCTACAAGTTGTCCTTCTCCTACTTGTACTTGTATTCTACAGCTCTGTACTCATGTATAAATAGTTGCCTCGTCAATAATAGAACACACAGCTTATTGCAAACCTTACAGAAGCTTCCTTTAGAAAAAGGGGAGCTCCGGTGAGTATATATTTATAAATTTTTCTAATATATCTTTTCTTTAAACCGGATTAAAAAGAACTTTTAACAGAAAAATTAAAGTATTCCGGTTTTTCAAAATGAAATGTATTTAACCTTTAAAAAAAATGAAATAAAATGCACTTAATTTGATATATTTTGCAACAAAAGAAAATTGATACAATATTATGACATATATACCATGGTGGTGAGATTAGAGATGACAACTACCCATTAACCCATTTACAATATATTTGGGTTGGATAAGTAACCGCCAACCGTAAAAATAGGGTATTTTGCGATCGCGGTTAGCAATATTGCATGTTTTACGATTTGGGGGTTAATCGCAATCGAAACCGAACAACATGTAATCTCATTTTAACTGATTACTAACGTGGTTACCCACGATTAACCACGGTTAGTGCGATTAACCGTGACACAGTAGCACAACTATAGACCAAAATGTCATTAAACCATAAAAATGGTTAGTAACACGGTTACAAACAATTAACCGTTAACCGCACTTCGTGGCTAGTGGTTAACCACAAACTATTTGCGGTGCGGACGCGGTTGACGTAAATGGCTACATTTCGGTTGCGGTTAACTGCAAATTTCGGTGCGGTTAACCGCAACTACACTGATTCCCAGCCCTAGAAATACCCATATGGGTTTGAACAAAATTGTCATCTTTAGTGGTAACGTTTGAGAATACACAAGTTTATACCATGAAGCGGTGGAATTGTACCATGACTGTATGAATATATCATAGTATAAAATGGTTTTTATACATGATAGTAGAAATATAATAATAATGATCATATACCCAATTTCATCACCGTCTACCACAAGTTACCACCATGTATCGAGGTGGTATAGGGTCGTAGATTTGGTGCTGCAATTTCTTTTCCGAAAATTCATAGATCACGATGAACTCATTTGTTCTATGTAAAAGTTTTCAAAATTTGAGTTAAAAATGAATGTGGTATAGAGTGGTAGTAGGGTGGCAACGAGCGGTAATGGGTGGTACTAAATTCTTTGCTGAAATATATCGAAAATATATATCATTTTGTAGATCACAATGAGATCATTTCATTTGTTAAAAAAATTAAAATCCTATTTAAAACAAAGAACATACATATTAATTAAAAAATAAAAATTATAAAAAGTATGTTAATCTCACTCGTTACATCTAGTTCCACTCAAACGTGTTTCTAGATAGCACAGGGAGCACCGACGATCTCACACCTGTTCTTTGCGGATGACAGCGTGTTCTTTGGGAGGGCCACGGAGCAGGAGAGTGGCGTGTTAAAAGAAATTATTACCCTGTATGAGAAAGAATCAGGTCAACTGGTGAATTTCCAGAAATCAGCTGTCTGTTTAGCGGGAAAGTTAAGACTCATCAGAAGCTTATGATCAGTGGTACTTTGCAGATGACACTGGTGGATAAGCATGACAAGTACCTGGGGCTACCGACTGTGGTGGGTCGATCCAAGAAAGAGATATTTAATGGATTGAAGGAAAGAATTCGTAAGAAGCTGAAGGGCTGGAAAGAAAAGACCCTGTCGGTGGCGGGGAGGGACACCCTAATTCGCTCCGTTGCTCAGGCCCAGCTCACTTATGCTATGTCTGTTTTCCGGATCCCGGTTACTATCATTAATGAGATTCATAGTCTTATCATGAATTTCTATAGGGGGCAGAAGGGTTCCGAGACGAGAATTCATTGGCTAAATAGAGAAGGTATGCAAGTGTCGAAGGAGGAGGGCGGCCTTGGATTTAGGGACCTTGAGGGCTTCAACACTGCAATACTGGCCAAACAAATGTGGAGGCTGTTTCAACGTCCCAATTCTCTGATTGCTCAAATTTTGAAAGCCAAGTATCACAAGCATAGCTCGGTTTTGGAAGCTAATGTAGGCTATCGCCCTAGTTTCATCTGGAGGATTCTCTGTAGTGCGCAGGAGTTCCTTAACGGTGGCCTGCAATGGCGCATCGGGAACGGAGCGGATGTGAGGATCTGGGGTGACCGATGGATTCCAGGGGGCTCGCCTGATTTTGTTCCCTCGGCCCAGTGTGGCCTCCCCGTCGATGCCAATGTCAGGCAACTTATTAACCCGGTCACAGAGAGGTGGGATTGGGAAACCATTGAAGACTGCATGCCAGTTGAAGTTGGTCAATGTGTACTACAAATCCCTCTAAGGGGTAATGGGTAAAGAGACAGGTTAATATGGTCGGCAAGCGAGTCTGGAGAATACACTGTCAAGGATACAAATCTTGTCTTGACAACTTCCTTCGCGTGCGGGCTATGTCCTCGGTTGGTGATGCGACAACGTCGAAGTATCTTTGGTCAATGAAAATTCCCCCTAAAGTCAAGCATTTTATGTGGCGCTTTATGAGAGGGATTCTACCGAAGGGCGACAAAATAGGTACTAAGAGTACGAAGTGGAGTGATAAATGTCCATTCTGTGATAGCAGGGAAACCCAGGTGCACCTTTTTGGGGAATGTGGTTGGACCTCTAGAATCTGGCGACAATATGATTTTGAGGCGTTTTTTTCCTGTCGGACGTCGGAGGATTGCTACCTGACACGCCAAAACACAACACCAAACTGCGACCAAGTGAAATCGCAGTCCGGTAATGCAGTAACAGGCAAGTTCTATTATCAACCCGGGGTCTAGATCTACTGCTTACTCCGTGATTATCTATTATCTAGCAAACTAATTCGAGTGATTGTTGTTTAAAGCAAAAGCAGTAAGAAAGCAGGAAATGGTTCGGTTTTCAAAAGCAGGTAAGAGTCACTCGGGATTGAGTCCCCCTAGCCCCTTAGTTAGGTTCAATTGTAATTCCCCTGGGTTGATTTACTGTTGATTAGACTGCGGAAGATCCGACAGTAGCTTGGAATCTCTTAAGCTGACCAAGCCCTCTCAGTCTAACTACCCGGCAGACGACTAGTCTTCACCGGGATAGAAAGCTGAAGCAATAAGCACAGAACTCCACTACTGGAATTGAATTCCAGTACAAAGCAGTAAACTGGCTAACTCTCGTATAGCCAATCTCCTACTATCGAATGAAGAGGCTCTAACAACCTAATCAGATTCTATCTATCTCAGGTTGCAGCAGAAATCAACAAAAGCTGATCAGACTTCAATCAATTCAATAAACATGCATCATTCGATTAAAATCAAACAGTAATATCATCCCAAGTCATTACAATCAAATCCCTAACACAAGGAACTAGGGTTCTTCATACCCAAGTGAGAGAAGGGTTCTACTCCATAGAGAGAGAAAGGAAAACAGAAATCAGAGTAGTCATACTGATAAAGATGAGGAAAATCTGCTCTGGGATGTCAATCTTCACTCCTAGGGACGCAATCTGGGCTTCAATGATGAGAAATCCACTCCAAAATAGCTCTTTCTCTCTCTAAAACTCTGTTTTTGCTCCAGAAACTCGAATACCTCTTCCTTGGCTCGAATCTGCCTCCAAAAACCCGACTCTGGGCGAATTACGGGCTGGATTACGGCCGTAATTACGTCCTGCTCGTAATTCGCCCCAAAACGCACGTTTCAATTAAGCTAAAGGAGGAGGAGATACGCCCGTAATTTCCCAATTACCGCCAGTAATTTGGGAATTACGGTCGTAATTTACATGGAGGCTTGCCCGTAATTTTAGCACCGAGAGGAAATTCTGGGGAAAAGGCTCGGCAATTGTTTTACGGGCATGCCCTGACCAATTACGGTCGTAATTTGGCAGGGGCTGCCCGTAATTCCTTCTGTGAATCGCCATCTGACCTCCAAATGACCCGAAACTTGCGCCTATGCACCTCCTTACTTGCTAGGACCTGAAATACGACAAAACAACACAACCTAGCGTAAAATAGGCCAAGGAACAATCAATTCGAGCCAAAATGGACAGGAAACCAGAGTGAAAACACGTGCAAATACGATGCTATCACTACCGCTGGGTCGTTGAAGCTATGGCTGGAAGGGACAAGGAGGATGTAGAAGCTTGGTGTGTTGTACTCTGGTTCTTGTGGCGGGAACGCAATGCCCAGCTCTTCAATGGCACAAAGATGATCGTACATGAGATTATCCCCCGAGCACAGGCGTTTCTTGCTGACTACAGGTCCCAGCAAGCTCCTGTGGCGATCCAGGAGGAAGTGAGAGGCAATGTCAAGTGGTGTGCGCCGGATCCCAGACGCGTAAAGATCAATACTGATACGGCCATCCTTCACGGAGATGGGATCAGTTTAGAAATGGTTGCCCGAGGATCACAGGGCCAATTCCTAATGGCGGCAGCTATGAAAATCCCAGGTAGATGGGAGGTCGAAGCGACAGTGGCAAGGGCAGCGGAGTTTGGTGTACAGATGGCACAACAACATAATTTTATGAACCTCATCATTGAGGTTGACAGTCTTGGATTGGTGTCAAAAATTCAAACAGCCGAGGAGATTAATTCGGAGACTGTCGTAATTTGCAGAAACATCCCGCCGCATTCTGGAAGAGTCAGGTGCATGGTCTTGGCAGCATGTCTATCGTGATGGGAATAATGCAGCTCATATTATGGCGCACTCGGAAACAAGATGGAATGAATGTATCGCCTGGATGGATAGGCCCCCTATCTTTCTTGTTGACCAGTTACAGCTGGATAATGTAACCGCCAACACTGGTTAATAAGAGTTCCCACAGATTCCCGTAAAAAAAAAGATAGTGAATTTTTCTTTGCTTATACGCTTCCAAACTGAACATCCCACTAAGTCTATAGATTGTTGCCCATGTTCTGCATATCGACTTATTACAAGGGAATTTGATTGCAATCCAATCACGCCACCAAGAATCCTTCTCCGTGGCAAATCCTCATAGCCATTTGCTAAGAAGGGCCAAGTTCATACATTCAATATATGGGATGCGCAACCCCATTAGACTTCGGAACCTTACGACTATCTCAACTCATAAGATGAAGTTTAGATTCCCCATTAGCATCCGACCATAATAAGTATCTATGGGGTCGTTTGGATGAGCAATTTAGCTACCGAGGAATTGAGTCATCATTTAGATGATAGTTTGCAGTCATGCGTCCAGATTTTATTGGTCGCGATTGAATATCGAATGTATTTCTTGAGTGTTGGAGGACACGATGATATGAGATTTATTTATTTAATATGTATATATGTGTGATTTGAGTTAAATTTTCTTTTTTTTATAAGGGTGAAAGTTTTATTATTAAAAATAAAGTAAACAGGGAAGACCTAAGAGTGTTCACAAGAGATGAACCTCTCATATCAAAAGTTCAAACAAGAAAAAAGGGCAGGCAGCACAAAACAATGCGCCACCGCCAGAAAAAGGAAGAAGAATCGGAAGGAAGCTGCGTGGATCAGTCCCTCCTGCTGCACCAACATAAGAAGAACAAAAAGGAACCAGGTCACAAGTCACCATCACCAGGGCAAGTTTGGCAGAGGAGCCAAAGTCACTCGTTCCTGTTAATCTCGCTGATCAGCCCTTCTGCCGCCACCCAGCTAAGAAGAATTCTACCAATCTTGTGGAAAATGGACTTCCAGCTATGCTACTCATCGTTAAACATCCTTCTATTTTGTTCCTTACAAACCTCCCAAGTGAAAGAGTGGAGAAAGAGATGGGCGAATCGTTCAAGCCATGCGGAAAGTTCCTTAGTAGGTCAGCTCTGAATCACATTCTGCATCTCATCAGAATGGGGTCCGAAAACCATTAGAACTTACATGAAGGAACTCCAAATATTTTTGTTGAATATGCATTCTCTAAATATATGGTGAGTAGTCTTAATGTCTGCCTTGCAAAGGGTACATCTACTCGCAATGTTCCAGCCACGCTGCATCAGGTTGTCTTGCGTTAATATTCTATTGTGATAGACCAACCACATAAAGCAGCTTATCTTCGAGGGCACCTGTGCACGCCACACAGCCTTGTGCGGAAAGTTTGAGATACCGGGAAACTTCTCGGAGCACAGGCTTCTGTACATGGATCGAACAGAGAATCAAGCCTTAGAATCGGGCATCAAACCAACCTGCAAGAACCCGTAGATAATTTAAAAGATCAACCCTCTCCCTGTCAACCCCCCCCCCCCCCCCCAAAGAAATATTTAATGAAATATTCCAACTTACAGTATCCGGAGAGGAGATGAAGTCAGAAATCCAGCCATTGGGAAGGCGGAGACGGAAGCAACTCTCGAGAAAGCTCCTACTAAGGTCGCCCCTCGGTTCCACCTATCTTGTCAGAACGAGACCCAAGCGCCACCACTTGGATCAATATAGGAGAACTTCCAAAAATTGCCCATTTCTTTCAAAGTAGACATCCAAACAGACCATCTAATCCTACCACTTCCTTGCGCAGAAATCCAAACAGAAGAGGTATTTGGGAATTTAATACTAATCAATCTCCTCCACCAGGCATCACGTTCAAGTGCAAACTTCCAAATCCACTTTGAAAGTAGGGCAGTATTCATACTTTCTAGATCAAAAATTCCCAAGCCACTTGCAGCAACTTGTGCTTTACATTGCTGCCAATAAACAAGATGATATTTGCCTTTCTCATGCACCCCAGACCAAATGAAATTCCTTTGGAATCTTTCCATCTGGTTAATGACAAATTTTGGAGCTTTTCGGAGTGCTCACAGGTAGAGTGGCTGACTAGAAAGGGTGCTCCGAATCAGAATCAGCCTCCCACCCAAAGAGAGATAGCCACCTCTCCAGCACTCCATCCTAGCTTGAAACCTTGTGAGAACAGGGATTCAGACTGAGATCGAATTAGGACTGGCTCCTAGCAGCAACCCCAAGTAAACAGTTGGGAGAAAGCTCCAACTACAACCGAAGAGGGAAGCAAACCAGGCAGGATTCTCAATACGTCACATTACACTTTTGTCCACATTGATCTTCAATCCTGTAACGGCTTGGAAGCACACCAGAGTAGCCAACAGATTCATGACTTGTTCTTCAGTAGCATCATAAACTACAATAGTGTCATCGACATGCAACAAATGGGTAACCTAACCACTTGACGCGCCTTCGTCCATAAAAAACCACTAATTAATCCCGTTTCGCGTAAGGTTTCCAGCATCGTCGATAAGATATCTATAAAAAGGCTGAAAAAGAAAGGGGACATAGGGTCTCCTTGCCGTAACCCCTTCTCCATCTTGAAAAAACTAGCGGCTTCTCCATTCACCAAAACAGAAAGAAAGGGAGACGACACTAACCCTTTAATCCATTTCTGCAGATCTGCCGGGAAACCCAAACTCTATAGGATTTTGAAAAGGCATCCCCAGCTGACGTTATTGACACGCTAAAACACAAAACCAAACTGCGACCAAGTGTAATCGCAGAATGGAAATGAAGAATATTGGGTAAGTTTAATTTATCAACCCGGGGTCTAGATCTACTGCCTACTCCATGAACTTCTATTATCTAGCGGGACTAAGTTTAGTGAGAATGAGTTTAACTAAAGCAGAAAGAAAGCAGCAAATTGTCTGGTTTTTTGAAGCAAGAGAAGAGTCACTCGGGAATGAGTCCTCATAGCTCCTTAGTTAGGTTCAAATTGTAATTTTCTTTGGCTGATTTACTGTTGATTAAACTGCAGAAGATCCGACAGTAGCTTGGAATCTCTTAAGCTGACCAAGCCCTCTCAGACCGACTACCGGGAAGAATACCGGGATATAACACTAAGGAAATTAACATAGAACTCCACTACTGGAAACAGATTCCAGTACAAAGCAGTGAATTGACTGACTCTCGTAAAATCAATTCACTCATATCGATTGAAGAAGCTCTAACAACCTATTCAGATTCTATCTATCACAGGTTGGAGCAGAAATCAAGAGAAGTTGATCAGGATTCAATTGACTCAGTAAACACACTTCAATCGATTATAATCAAACAGTATATCATTCCAAAAGTCATTACAATCAATATCCCTCACACATGGAACTAGGGTTCTTCATACCCAAGTGAGAGAGAGTTCTACTCCATAGAGAGAGATGAAAACAGAATACAAAGCAGCCATACTCATAATGATGGGAAGAATCTGCTTTGGGATGATAATCTTCACTCCAATGATGAAATCCAAGCTTGATTGATGAAACCCAGCTGCAAAATCAATCCTAGAGTTTGTTCTTCGCACTTTCTCTCTAGGACTTTGTTTTTGTTCCAAAAATTCGAATCCCTTTCCTTTGGCTTGAATCTACCTCTTTCAACTAGATTCTAGGAGAAATACGGGCAGAAATACGGTCGTAATTCTTCCATGCCCATATTTTGCCCAAAACGCCATTTTGGTTAAGTCTCAGCGCATCCAAGGCTCCTCTCGACAGTGAAATTACGGGCTAGACACTGAGAAATACAATCATATTTTTGGGAATACTGACCGTATTGTGTACATGAGCCATCACAAGGCTCGGCATAAAAATACTGGCAGTAATTCGTGAATTACGGTCGTAATTTAGGGAATATAGGCGGTAATTTGTGAATTACGACCGTATTTTTAGGGAGTCTGCCCGTATTTCATTCTCAACTCCACTTTTGAGAGGCTTTTTAGTAACCAAACGACCTCCGATTGACCCGAAACTTGCGCTTATGCCTCCCTTTACTCACTAGGATCTAAAATATGACAAAATAACACAACCTAGTGTAAACATGTGCAAATATGGTGCTATCAAATTCCCCCACACTTAACCGTTTGCTTGTCCCTATGCAAATATGGCGAGAACTCTAGTCTCGAGTCGGTATCATGGCAAATAGTGACCAGAGGACAAAAGAATCGTGGACAAAGAGACTCTCAAAAACAGAAAGATCATGGACTCACTTTTTTAAGGTGCTCTATTTTCTTCTTGAAGATGGTTAGAACCCCCTTTTTGTATTTTTCTATTTTTTTGTTTTGTTTTTTTAGGGTCCTAACCTGTTATTTTCGGAAAATGGGCCCCCCACTTATTAAAGTTTTTTAGGGAGCCCAGTTCTTATCAGCCCCACTTATTAAAGGTTTTGAGTGAGCCCAGCTCTCGAGCCTCGTGCCGGGGGGGGATATAAGGGGGCTAGAGGTAGTAGGTGGAAGTTGGGAACGAATTCCCGCCTCCCCTTACACACTTTCACCAATTTCCGCACGTGAGACGTTATTTTAAAAGCACAATTTAGAGCACTCTTTTTCCAAAACGTGATACAAGCGTCCATGACAGGTAAAGAGTCTACAATACCACAAAATTCAAGGGTCCTAAGATCACTAATTCACACAATCAACCAACACAATATGAAGAAGAAAAGAGACTTCTTATGCATAAACATCATCCATAGTGCTACACTACCTCCCTAGGTTGCATATTACGACAAATACTGTCAATTCAAAGCATACTGAGCAGGAAATTGTGAGGACCACGTGCTCGGAGCCCTCAAATCGAAATTTGGACAGTGGACTAGACTCCAAGCACACAAACATATCTAAGCAGTCAAATAGAAAACACCACCCCCCCCCCACACACACACACACTCTCACACTTAAGTTCGACATTGCCCTTGATGGAGCAGAGGGA